CACGAAGGTAATGCAAGCTTAAACACACGGGTGGCCACTCCAGAACACCGTGAAAATTTGCTATGAATATCAGGTTAAAGGTGGAAAATACTGTGATAAATTTTCAAAACTAAAAAGACAATTGCAGATGAAGACTTTGATGGCAACTTGGATTAAAAGGAACAGTTTTGAAATCCCCTCTGATGAAGGGGCCGTATTCAACAATTAATTTGTTAGCAATAAATTTAAGTAGAAAGTTTACTTCAATGTGATATTATTTGTCATGGCTCAGCGAAATCGCAAAAATGCTATTTTTGTTAGTTGACCCTTAAGATAGAAGACGATGTTATACTTTTAACCTTGATCTACAAGTGTTTAGTCATGTACCCCATTGTTAGTCATATCTTATGTTTGTTTATAGTGTTAATTAAAATACCCAATGCATACTTAAAGTATTGGTCTAGTAGATATACAGTACAAAAATATAAGTAATGTTAATTTCTTAGTTGTGAAAGTAAAATTGTTAATGAGATTTAGAACAGATTCAAATATATCGTTCATATATATATAAAGTCTTGAGCCGGCGGTCCATCGGCTGTGTACCACACCGATCGTAAACACAGATCTTGGCGTCATAATGTAAACACGGAAGCCCCCCCATATCAAGGAAGGAATTACACTAACAAACTCTCACCCCAAAATTCTTCGTCTAAAACCAATCTGTTGACTGTGTGTCTCTCCCCTCCGCCCCAGGACAACTGCCACGTCCAGGTAACATCACCCTAGTCATTAAAAGTAGTTGGTGACAGGTATTTTCAGCACTAGCGGAGAACCCCAGCACACTGTCGCCCTCTTAGCAAAAACCCTGAGGCCCTCCTGGGAGTCTTTGATGACCATCCTAGCACCCTCCTAGCACTCAAACGTTCTCCTAGGAGTTTTTTTATGCCCCCTAGCGCACAAATAGCACTAATTCGTCCTCCATTGAGATTTTGGATTCCTCTTAGTATTCTCCTAACACCATGCGTCCTCCCAGGAGTATTTGCTACTCTCCTAATACCCCCATACTACCCTCCTAGCAGTCCTTGGGCCCTCACATACCCATACAATTGCAACTCCCTCCTAGGACCTATACAATCCTCCTAAGAGGCTTTATTGCCCTCCTAATGCTCATCGGCTCACGTAGGAGTCTTGAATGCCTCTCCAGCTCCTCTATTGCCCTCTTAGGACCCCTTATAGTCTTCCCAGGAATCTATACTGCCTTCGTACCTCCCTTTAAGTCTTCTCAGCAGCCATCCAAGCCAGTTAGGTCCCCCGCCTCCTTCTCAGTAGACCTCAGGCGATGCTAGGATCTTACAGCACAGCCCAAATGCCCATGCTTGGTGTCCTAGCATTTCTAAGGCCAGAACTAGCCCCCCTTCGTGTCTCTAAGAACACCACTTGAAGAACTCTGACATCCTTGAATTTTCCTCCCTCATAGAACCTGTCTTACTCCTCAAGCCTCCACTCACAGAACCCCCCCTTTGTTTACCCTCGTCCTCCCCATCCCACCATTTATAGAACCCCCCCCTCTCTACCTTCCCACACTTGCATTCACAGAACCCCTTCCATAATTAGCAACATGGGTTCTCTCTCTCACTCAGAACCACCTGTTAGTGTAATAGACAGCAGTTTCACAGAATTTCTTCATATTAAGACACACACTGCAACTGTAACGTCACGTGCAAGATTACAGTGACCTGCCTGTAGCCTGTTGTTACACGTCTGTATTATGTAACACGTATGGCTGTTTTATAACTGATCAGACCGAAGATAAACACTCGTACTGTATAACAACTCACAGTTACTACAATGAAGGATATAAGAATGTTTTTGGTTTGTTTTATATACATTATGTGACTCAGTAACTTCTGGGGTTTTATTGTTTACAGCTATAAGAACACTGTCTTCCTCCTCCTCCTCCTCCTCCTCCTCCTCTTCTTTTTTGTTCTTCTTCTTTCCATCCAGATTATGTCCTCTTCTATTCTACCTACAACCTCGCCAACTTGTTATCCGTCCCCTGATCGACTCACACTCCCATTACCAAATCCTTCCCAGTCCCCATATCTCCTATCCTTTCCTATCCTTTCACCCCTCATCCCTCATTAAGTCCTACCCTCTCCTACTCCTTCCTAGTCAACAAGGTCGTCCTCTCATCAACCATCACTTACTCTAGGACGTAATTTTACATAGCGACAGTAAAGAACTTGTGGGTTAAAAAAAATTATAATATAACCTTCACAGTTCATAACAAACACAGAGGACTCAGTTTTTCCAAGGTTCGTACGTTGAATTTTTTCCCTAACTGGAAGATAAGTTAAATACATTAAGACTGGATTAAGATTGAAAGAGATAAATATAATCAGTATATCCGTTACAGCAGGTATAGTTAGAATACATATAAATTTAATAGAAAACATGTCATGGTTCCTTTGTGGACACTGTACTCTGTTCCCTGCCTGTTATGAAGAATTAAGCTAATATGTAAGAATCTCGACTGAGGACTTTGTACCTTAAATAATCCCACTTTGTGATAGGGAAACTTTCAGCAGGAGTGTAGCTTAAAAACCTAGATTATCTTACTTCCAGTTACGAGAAAATACGAAGGGACGTAAGAATCTGAAAATATGGACTGTGTGAGCAATGCTTCAGCTTCTTGCCCTCTTCCTACCTCTAAACACGGAATATTTACTGGCTGTGAACTTCACTGACTATCTTTGAAATTAGTCAAATCATGCACTACACAATACTGTACAGACACAGCGTAGGCAACCTTGGAATTTTATGTTGTAGCGATCACGTAAATTATATCATAGTTACCCTTTCAAAATATTACGTTTTTTGTAATTAGTCTTTGCGCTGATATATTATTGTGCACGCTTGGGCCAGGGTAAATGGTTAAATTTTTAGTAATAGAAGAGTTTGTTTGTATTTCTTTACATTGGCTGAAGTTCGCAATTTAGTTAGTAGGATAATAATAGTAACAGACCTCACGTTTGATGTTGTGTATAGTGGTGATACCTAGCAACTCCTAACGGGTAAACAGAACGCTTGTCAAGGCTTCTCTGTTCAACAACACTTACCTTTACAGTGCAAAAAGTTTATCAAATTAACATTTTTCCTTTATTTAACTCCTTGCATAAAGCCATTTCTCACAACGACTGTCAGCATCTGGCAGTCAAATCCTAGCAACAACTTGCCTATAATATTCTACTTTAAAACTACTACTTCACTATGAAAGCTAAAATTATAATATTATGATATCGTAATAAGATTCATTACAAAATCGTACATCATACTAATAGTGACACATGCAAATAAGCCATAGTGTAAATAATAACAACTTACATGATTGACTAGTTTTTACCGATACTCCTGTACATATTTAGAGAGTTCCTTGATGTATACACGACTGTTCAATATTTCTTCCATGTAACTGTATTCTTAACTATCAGCTCTATAAGTTACCGTAGACTCAGAGGAGGAATAATTATGAACATATTACTGATATCAAGGGACTTTGTAATCACTCTCACCAAGGGACATGGTAAACAGAGCTAAGTAGAGCTGTAGTAAAGTAAAGTGGCATAGACTACATTAAAGGTAGTATAATAAAGTGTACGAAGGTAGGATAAAGTGCGGTATAAGTAGACTAAACGGCACTGAATCAGGGTGAAAGTTCATTGTAAGTAGGATAAGTGCTGTTAAATAAGGTAATTTTACTGTATAAGGAAGATAAGTGTAAGTAGGATAAAGTAAAATCAAATAAAATAGTATACAAGTAGGATAAAGGAACATATTAGTAAAATAAAGTAGTCTTAAGTAGGATCAAGTAGTATTAAGTGGAATCGAGTGCAATTTAAGTAGTATTAAGAACATTTTAAGTAGGATCAGGTACATTTAAGTAGAATCGGGTACATTTATGTAGAATCAGGTACAGCTTAAGTAGAATCAGGTACAGTTTAAGTAGAATCAGGAACATTTAAGTAGAATTAAGTACATTTAAGTAGAATCATGTACATTTAAGTAGAATCATGTACATTTAAGTAGAATCATGTACATTTAAGTAGAATCATATACATTTAAGTAGAATCATGTACATTTAAGTAGAATCATGTACATTTAAGTAGAATCATGTACATTTAAGTAGAATCAAGAACATTAAAGTAGAATCATGTACATTTAAGTAGAATCATGTACATTTAAGTAGAATCATGTACATTTAAGTACATGGTAGAATCAGTAAGTACATGTACATGATCAAATAAGTTGTACCACCTCGGTAGAGGTAGTATCACATTGAATCACCTGTACCTTCCCTCCGAGACACTTAACAGGGAGTAACTCGGCCGATGGAGTTGACTCGGGGCTCCTCACGACAGTCACTCAGCGGTACTATGTCATCTAGAGGCGGCTCACCTACCGAGGATACTTCCCGCTTGATAATGGGAGAGACGCCTATCCCAGGGGGTTCACCTAGCCAACAGCGACGTGATTCTCAAGGTATTTGTGTACGTGTGTGTGAGGGGTGTGTTTACTTCTGTTGGGTAATGTTCCTCTGTTTTGTGAGTTTGGGTTTACTCCTCTCTCTCTCTCTCTCTGTCTCTCTCTCTCTCTGTCTCTCTCTCTCTCTCTCTGTCTCTCTCTCTCTCTCTCTCTGTCTCTCTCTCTCTCTCTCTCTCTCTCTCTCTCTCTCTCTCTCTCTCTCTCTCTCTCTCTCTCTCTCTCTCTCTCTCTCTCTCTCTCATTTGGCCTTCCCTGTCTCTTTGTTACCCTCTGTTGACACTTCCCACACGTCCCTCTTACACACCAGGAGGACCCTAACCGTGTGTGTGTGTGTGTGTGTGTGTGTGTGTCTTCTTCTCACACCTAAATTGTTTTGTTCATTAACCCTAAAATTTCTCACCTGACCCCACAAAATATTTCCCTAGCCCCTTAACATCTTTCCCTAATCCCTTAAGATATCTCTCAACTCCTTAAGATCTCTTTTCATGACCCCATAATATCTCCCTGACCCCATAATATCTCCCTGACCCCATAATATCTCCCTGACCCCATAATATCTCCCCTGACCCCATAATATTGCCCCCTGACCACTAGATCTCTCCCCATTGATTCCATGAGTATCTCGCTCCTGTATCTCACGACTCCACGACCTCCCTCACCCCAGTCTCTCTCTCCTCCTCCTGAACACACTCGGTCTCTCCCTTACAGCCTCCCAGTCAAGCAGCATCAGTGGGTTTAGTAGCGCCAGCGGCACCCGACGACAGCCCGACGAGAGCAGTCAGTCATCCCAACCGTCGGCGGCGCAGCAGAAGGCACCTCTCTTCGGCCGTCAGACCTCAGTCACCACCACCAACGAGAGCACGCCCGGCGGCGGCGGTGGAGGTGGTGGCGACGACACGGAAGACACCATGAAGAACTTGAGGAAGACCTTCGCTGGGATCTTCGGGGACATGTAGAGGGAGTGAGGCAGACGCTGCTGAAGATCTGCAGGAGGAGGGTGATTAGAACCTAAAGAACTCTGCAGGGTAGTAGGACCTAAAATCCGCAGATGTAAGGTATTAATACCTTATGAGCTACTGAAGGGTTGTAGGACCTAACTATCTGCAGATGGAGGGTTGTAGGACCTGAAAAACTGCCAGAGGATGATAGTAAGAACTCACACAGCAAGAGGAGAGCACCCAACACCAAACATCATCAGTTCTGTCGTGTAAGGTGAGGCGCCGCGTCCCCCTCCACCCCCGGGAGACCACTTCACCAGTTATCACAAATCATCATCGGCTCAAACGTTAGCACTTAAGTCTTGGGATAGATTCTGCCTTAAAATATATCTTAAACTAACGACAAACATAATGTAGATAAAAAAAACGATAAAAAAAAACACTCCGGATGACATTATCGTATATATAACTGTTTTTTTTTTTTGGCATCTGAGTTATACGAAAAAAAAAACGAGGAAATCCAACCCCCAAATAAGGGTTATTTTGGGTAGAATCTACGCGTATGAGAGCATGGTGTGCGTTGATTGTTCTTTGTTCACCTGACGCCTCGTAGTGGAGTGACCTCTAGCGGGCGTCGAGGTAAACAAGCAAGAATGAACACACACCATATCCACATTTGAGTGGGATTCGCTCACTAACACCCCACCCACCCCTTGCTCCCCCGCTTCTCCTCGGCTGTGGTGAAGATGACCGCTGTGGTATTTGAGCCTTACTGGAAAAATAATAAAATAAAGCTCATATTTCTCTGTTTTGTACAAGTCAACAGGAGATACCTCGCCTGTAACGGTATTAAGCGAATTAATGGTGGATTCTGGTGTAACGGCATCATTACTGTCATTAGCATACAAGAAACATATATAAGAACTGGTCCATGATTTATTATAAGATTTATTTAATATAGAAATGTGGAGCATAATGTATTTAAGATAGTAATTTATTAGTTTTATTGATATAACTCAAGTGACGTCATGAGAGATGCCAGTTCGTTTATTTCTACGTGAGAGGTGCTAGTTAGCCATTATCCACCTATATACCGAAAGTATTGATGATATCGCCAATCTTTTCACAGTTGCTGTTGTGTGAGGCGAGGATTCATAAACACGACATCACATAAGACGAACAGAGAGTTACTTAGGAGTGTAGGCCAAGCTTCATAGCGTTACTCTAGTTACCCAGGCCACAGCAGGAAGCCTCTGTTATAAGGAATATATCTAAGTCAAACATAACAGCAAAGTATTGTTTACCTAATTCATTATTGTTGGGCCATGAACGAGTCTTTCCAACGATTTTCTTAAGTCCACGAGTTCATAAGTCCAGACTGCGTGCGTAACCCAGGTTCTTGGACCTTCGGCAGCCAATCAGCGCCTGAAATTTAATCACGTGATCTTTATCCAATGAGTGGTTTAGGATATGCTGACATGATTACTAGCTATTGAATAATTAGGAATGTGCGTCCAATATTTGGTCCCGCGAGTGTTGTACCAAGTTAACCCGCGACTATCGGCAATAATTATCTCCAGGTTCGCATTCGTGATTATATTAGTCAAAAGTAAGTGCAGATGGTGAGGAGGTGGAGGACGTGGGTCACTAGAAGCATCTGGAGCTCTTGTGTATTTGATGACCTTACCAATGTTGTTAGCAATATGCTCTGTGTTGTTTTATCTCGTGGGTAGAACACTTGTGGTTGTTTGTTCTGTGCGTGGACGTTGATGTGTTTCTCTCTAATTGACTTTTGTGATTGTCTAACCTCTAGAATTTTGATGGTCTCTAGACACTGTAGCAGCGGCAACGGCACTGGTGTCTGGGGGTGTTGGCTCAATGAGGTTGTGGTGTTCCCCGGAGGTGCTGTGAGTGACCGTGTTGTAGTGAGTGGCAGGAGGGTGGAAGTACTTGTGAGTGACGGTTGTTGTAGTGAGTGGCAGGAGGGTGGCCATCACCTGCAGGTCGCTATAGTGCTGCAGGTTAGTCACTGATGACTCGTTGTTGTGTTGTCATTATAAGTGTTGTGTCTCCACGATCATGACACCAGACAGCCGCTCAGATACAAAGATCATTTACAGTAATGTGGAAAAAAGTCTTAACTTACCACACCCCAACTTAACCTGACTAAGTTTGGTCTAACCCAACTTAGGCCATTCTAAACTTAACCTATACCTGTTCTGTTAATCTGTGACCTGAAACTTACAGCTACCCGTGGAAATACGAGCCTCACAGCCTCTCGTCCTGGGTTCAGTGCCCTTGCCGGTGAACACAATTAACTGTTGTCCTGTATGGTGCAACGGATGCCTTGGTATATATACATATAATTCGTAACTATATGTTGAGCCTAAATGTAACGATAATTAAGAAATCTGAACGACAAAACGAAAGAGTTTCACTACTTGTATTTTTATTCATTTTTGGAAGGGTGTACTTGTTTCTGTTGGTGACCCCGACAACACGTGACCTCTCCTGGTTTTTACGGGGAATTTTGACCTTCTCCTAGAGTGATGAACCTTATCCTCAGCCTAAGGTCAAACTTCTACCCACAAAAGAGCGCCCCTGGTCCTGCTGCAGGAGTGTGGCGGGGTATTGACAGACCTACCAGCCTCGCGTCCATCTGTGAGGCCTCTTGGCTTTCTCACCGACCAGGACTGTATTGGAGTTCTCTCTCTCTCTCTCTCTCTCTCTCTCTCTCTCTCTCTCTCCCCCATCACTTAACTTAGGTCTCCCGTGGCCCTGTGAACCAACCAGCTGGAAAAACCTGATCTCCTGGCCCCCGACCCTGTCTTCTGGGGTTCGGTGGACATCGGCCAGACATTCCACAGCTCCCGTGATCCTTGTGAAGACCAAGGAGAGGAAGGATCCCTCGTGTCCTGGGTGTACGTTAGGTGTGTGAGTGTGTGGGTGTGGCGCACTTCTATTACCATATCCGTGTTTAGCCTTGACTTCGTTGCTTGTTAATTGGTTTCTACATTGTTGATATTGGAGACAGCTGATTGGCACTGCCATAGGTATATAGGTTATATCCATGTCTGGGACAACTCGAGAAGAATTTAAATAAAAAAGTAAGTGGACTAAATTGATTATTGATGTGTAAAGATATACTATAGTGTGACTTTTGATGCAATGCCCGTAGTTTGTTTACATTATACGGACTGACAGACGCGACCAGCTGGGCAGTGGCTGTGTATTGATATGTTCCTCAGTCTGGCTTCCAGTTTACGTCTCTCAGATGTGTCATCCTCAGTGTTGTGTTAAAAAAACTGGTGTATTTCATGAGTAACGTTTGATATATTGCCCGTGCCACATTACTTACCAGGAGGAACTGAGTGATATTAAATAACATCTAAAAACACTTAACAATATATATCACAGGTATCGCTGACGCCCTTAAGCAAATGTGTTTTGTTAGACCCTGAGAGTTTGTCTGTCTCTCCAACACGAGACACATCCATGACTCCAGCCTAAGGTCTGTGTGTCTCCCGTGAACCTCCAGTTGTGATGTGGATGAAATACAGAAACTTTATTTAACACGTTAGGTGAAGATTTTAAACACAGCATTACATAAAGACCAGACGGTAACAGTTCACGGTTGAGGTAGACGATCATCACTAGAATACGAACATCTTTTAGAACTTAATTTCAAAGTAGAGTCTCCCAAGTCAATCTATGGGAGTACCTGAGAGATGAGACTTTAACCCTCATCAATCAATCAGAGTTCCCTTTCCCCCACTCGATCTAAGGGTTGGTGACCACGGCCCTCCACTCTATATGTTTTCAGAGTTGTATTAATATTAATCTTCTCAGGTTGTATAATTACCAACACTCAAGGTCAGCACGGAGTGGGTAGGGGTCACTGTCTTACTCTGAACCCCAGCTGATGACGTCAGCAAGTTCCTCCACATCAACATTAGGGAATATGAGGGATGTACACAGCCAATATGAGGGAGTATAAGGAAGTACACGGCTAATATGAGGGAGTATAAGGAAGTACACAACTAATATGAGGGAGTATAAGGAAGTACACAGCTAATATGAGGGAGTATAAGGAAGTACACAACTAATATGAGGGAGTATAAGGAAGTACACAGCTAATATGAGGGAGTATAAGGAAGTACACAACTAATATGAGGGAGTATAAGGAAGTAAACAGCCAATATGAGGGAGTATAAGGAAGTACACAGCTAATATGAGGGAGTATAAGGAAGTACACAGCCAATATGAGGGAGTATAAGGAAGTAAACAGCCAATATGAGGGAGTATAAGGAAGTAAACAGCCAATATGAGGGAGTATAAGGAAGTACACAGCTAATATGAGGGAGTATAAGGAAGTAAACAGCCAATATGAGGGAGTATAAGGAAGTACACAGCTAATATGAGGGAGTATAAGGAAGTACACCGCTAATATGAGGGAGTATAAGGAAGTACACAGCTAATATGAGGGAGTATAAGGAAGTACACAGCCAATATGAGGGAGTATAAGGAAGTACACCGCTAATATGAGGGAGTATAAGGAAGTACACAGCCAATATGAGGGAGTATAAGGAAGTACACCGCTAATATGAGGGAGTATAAGGAAGTACACAGCCAATATGAGGGAGTATAAGGAAGTACACAGCTAATATGAGGGAGTATAAGGAAGTACACAGCTAATATGAGGGAGTATAAGGAAGTACACCGCTAATATGAGGGAGTATAAGGAAGTACACAGCTAATATGAGGGAGTATAAGGAAGTACACCGCTAATATGAGGGAGTATAAGGAAGTACACCGCTAATATGAGGGAGTATAAGGAAGTACACAGCCAATATGAGGGAGTATAAGGAAGTACACAGCCAATATGAGGGAGTATAAGGAAGTACACAGCTAATATGAGGGAGTATAAGGAAGTACACAACTAATATGAGGGAGTATAAGGAAGTACACCTAATATGAGGGAGTATAAGGAAGTACACCGCTAATATGAGGGAGTATAAGGAAGTACACAACTAATATGAGGGAGTATAAGGAAGTACACAGCTAATATGAGGGAGTATAAGGAAGTACACAACTAATATGAGGGAGTATAAGGAAGTACACAGCTAATATGAGGGAGTATAAGGAAGTACACAGCTAATATGAGGGAGTATAAGGAAGTACACCGCTAATATGAGGGAGTATAAGGAAGTACACAGCCAATATGAGGGAGTATGAGGGATGTACACAGTGTCACTCTACAGCTGCGTCGTGTCTCTCTGTCTGTCTGTCTCTCTCCCCTTTCCTCTCGTTGCCAGCAGTTGACCTTGGTTGTGTTTGACAATTAATTAGACATTTTATGAGTGTGTTGTGTAAAACAAATTTGTATATTTTTCGGTGTGAAGGTCATAAGCGTCGTTTAAGGCGTCAATTTAGAGGTTCTTAGGTAACATGATACTGTTTTGGAGTGTGTGTGTGCGTGTGGGAGTCTCTGGGATCTCAATATCAATGTCATGCCAAATTTAAACTAGAATCTACCCAGAAAAATGTGTACAGCAAATCAAGTGTGTTTAGAGGAATGCGTGTAAATGCGTATCCTCATTACACTTCGATTATTTTGTACAGGTTTAAGGTCGTGGTCTCAAAGATGACATAACACTGATTTTGAGGTTCATGGACACACTATACACGTGTTCCTTACTACTTCATGGTTCCAATATAATGCTATCTTTGATACTCTAAAATGACCTTTAATTCGTTATGACTTTGGTGTTGCGGGTGATTCTTTAGAAATATTTTAGGGAACCCGTAACGGAATTGGTTTGATTCTTTGCATAAATAAATAACATTAAGCTAGTGAATACCTGATCAATAAATAGTATAAAAGTATACAATAATTTATGTGTCTTGTATTAAATGAGAAGAATAATGTTTCGACTGCTAAACTCAAGTGAAATTAGGATTTCTATTCTAGATCAAAATATCAAAATATTTTCTTCTTTCTTTTGATCAGTGGATAAGTTAGATTCTACATAATGTTGCTTGTTATAGTGCTAACTAGTGTTGAGGATTTACAGACAGTACTCTTGTAATGCCTTCTCGTGTGCCCGGGCGGAGAACTCAGCACCTGGTGAACAATCGCGATACTACAGTGTGACGTCATAAAAATTAATAAATGGTGCAATGGGAAAACAATGTCACATAAGCATAATATTCACTGACGTCATAAAAGAACTGATCACGTCAAATCAGCCGTTATTAGTGCAATCAAAAGAACCAATCACAACCGCACAAAAAATTAGAGAAGTCACCAAAACACCCAAACGCTAATACTGTACAACATTCGCATCAGATTAACCAATCGGATCCATACAAATAAAGAAGATGCAATCTAAACAACCAATCACACAACACAACGTACTGGCGTCATCATTACGTTACCACTATGTCACTAAAAACCTCCAACACCATCACACCTCAGAGAAAAATATTTCCTTACTGTGGCAGACGCGATGAGTCTCGTTACATTACCCCGTTGACAAGTTGCCTTACACTCTCAAATACCAGCTAGTTAATGCCTCCATAAATGAATCTTTAAACATTTAATGCTTCTGATTCCCACCTGCAATCTCAAGTAAGTAAACACCTTTAACATCTCCCCAGGTGCTGAGTTCCACGTCCGATCGGGGGGAAAAAAAAACTAACGTTGTCCCCCCCTGTCCTCCCCAGCCCCTCCTAACATTTAAAGAAAACGGATATTTGTTTTTGTACTAGATAAACCAAAAATATTTCTCCTGATTCTACACTTTCATTAAATATTTCCTTTGTTTATTTTTCATGATTACTTTGTAGACGATACCCTTAATAATGATAATAAATAATAAAAAAACGACCTTTTTGTACATATGAGTATCTGTTATTGTAAATTTATGTAAATATACATTGCTGTCACGATTCATTACAATTTTGTTTGGTTGTACTCTCGGCCGCCATAGACGAGGCGGTGTTTGTATAAGAATAAGAGTGAATTAAGTGTCGTCCAAATACGTGTTTTATTGGTCCTTTCAACCTATTATAATGTTTATACTGGTTCATGGTTAATTTGAACCACCTAACGCTGGTTCATAGTCTGTGAACCACCTAACGCTGGTCCATAGTCACCTTGAACCACCTACACTGGTCCAGAATCTGTGCGGTACTCCAGAAATTGGTTCAGAATCGTCATGGACTGCTAAAAATTGGGCCATCATTACTATGAACACCCACACTGGTCCACCACCACCATGGACCACTCATACACTGGTCCACTACCACCATGAATGAGAAACAGGATATAAATTAGTGAAGAAAAAAATATCACTGACATTTAATGATAAAATGTACAATAAATCCTTCTAATATTTGATCGAGGTTTCCTTTATCACGTTCAAGTGCTCAGGGACAGTAAGTAACAGTTAGTTCAATATTAAGGCTTAAGAGTGCAAGGTAACAGCAAGTATTATGAGAAGGTAGTGGGGAGAGGTGAGAGAGATGGTGAGGAGGGGGTGAGAAAGGGTGGCAGGGAATGGGGAGGGGTGAGAGAGATGGTGAGGAGGGGGTGAGAAAGGGTGGCAGGGAATGGGGAGGGGTGAGAGAGATGGTGAGGAGGGGGTGAGAAAGGGTGGCAGGGAATGGGGAGGGGTGAGGTGATAGTGTGGGAGAGGGTGAGAGGGGACGAAAGAGAGAGGGAGGGAAGGAGAGTTAGTTTTTTTTTCTGAGTCTTGTAACACGACTTAACTGTTAATGAAGGTCTATATTCTCTGGCTGGTAATCTCTCCAGGGTTATAATTAAGCAAGTCCCTAGAAATTGTCGTGCTGAGTGAAAGTCGTAAACATGATACAGTTCCTGCCAAAGATTTCATTGAAGCTTGGTAAATATTCTGTCATTCACTTGGAAGTCATATCTATGTGTGATTAGTTAACAAATGGTAAATATTATGATTTATGTCTGATTAACTACGAAAAAACACTTTGTACGGTACGAAGAAAACTCTGATTAAAGAAATTTAAAAAATCTCAATCGACTTCAACTCTGTCAGATATTGCTAGAAATTTCAGGGGAATTTTCGCCCTAACTATACAGCTCTACGTTCATCCGGTATTGTTTCTTGGCTAGGGCTCAGATGATGACCTAAAATGAGACCTTAGAGCCCTTAAATGCCATCAGCGGTGGCATCAATGGGACGTCACTACGCACCAGTCGACCCTCACTACTGGATTGACTCGACCCACTGCTTATTAATGAGGTAAAAGTCAACAAGGCCACAAAACTGGAAAATAATTTTTAATAAATATATAAATTAATATTAGACAGTGTGGGACCAAAGTTTCCCCCGCTAGTGACACGTGGCAGTATCCCAGCAAGTAACAGTATCCCTGGCAGTAGTAGTATCCTTGGCAGTAGCAGTATCCCTGACAGTAACAGTGTCTCTGGCAGTAGTAGTATCCTTGGCAGTAGCAGTATCCCTGACAGTAACAGTGTCTCTGGCAGTAGAGAGAAATAAACAAGGGGTAAAGAAAACGATACATACTACTGTAGTCTGTATATTGGTAACACGGAACGCTAGTATTGTGAAGAGCAAGAGATGGTTGTAGTGGACACCATGGCCGGGAGTAAGGTCGAGATCCTGTTGGTTTAGAGACAACATGGGCTGAGAGGAATGAAAGTGAGCTGACAGAGTTGCAAGTAATACCACTGAGGATAAGATGCTGAGAGTCAAGAGGGCATTTAATAATATAATGTTTGTTGATTGACGATGTCTAGATTTAAATGTCGCGCCAGTATTTCCCGACAGACATACATAAATATTTATAATTAACAGATTTAATTGTCCACATTTAATATACATATTATAAGGGGCGTGAGTTGTAGCCGATAGTCAGTCTAATGTAGATCATACATTACGGCAATGTAATGTTGACAATAGCTTGTCTTTGCGCATGCGTGGCCCAACTGGCCCATAGCCGTTTACCTGCCGCCACAAGGGTTTACTCCAAGTGTCACTATTGTTTGAGAAAGTCGCCGTAAATCACCTCCCGCTTTCTTCACCTTAACCTGACCTGCACATTGCCTGAATACACCTGACGCCCACTCACCTAATTCAGATAAGTTCAAACTATACTAATAGTTAGCTAAATTGATATACTTGGGACTGACACACAACAGTGTAGAAAAACTGGTCAGCAGTTCGCTTGTACAGTTACGGAAATGTGTTCCCACGCCCTCTGTGGTAACCCGTGTCTCCAAACGACCAACCTATATGACCTATAGCAAACCTATCCGCCAATCACGTCTGTCGTTACATAACCAATAACCATTCATTCATAAATAGTGATACTACTACTGCGATAGTGCCGTTTGGGTTACCTCAGGGGCTGTAGGAACACATTTCCGCAACTGTACCATCTTTCATCCGCTTCCTCGTGACGCACGCATTGCCTAGTAATTAGCCTAATCCCTAACGATAGAGTAAGTCAAATTGTTATCTGCTTCACCATAGGGAAAATACCTTGAGGTAGGAGTCAGAAGAACTAGTTAGACAGGTACTAGGAGGGTGTGAGCAGTTTGAACCAGAACGGACGCGATAGATGAGGAGTGGGCTGGTATGAGCTGGATTGTGGAGGTCACGACCCAGGGAGGAGAAACGAACATAAGAACATAAGAATGGAGGAAACTGCAGCGGGCCTATTGACCCATACTGGGCAGTCCCGTTTACACCCAACCCCTATTGCTCATATGAGCATCCAACCTATGTGTGAAGCTATCCAGCGTATTCGAGTTAATGATGATATTTGGTAACTTGTTCCATTCATCCACTACTCTGTTACCAAACCAGTGTTTACCTATTTCGCGACTAAATCTAAATTTGTCTACTTTAAAACCATTGTTACGAGTTGGCTCCTGGTTGGATAGTTTGAGTACCTTTGTAATGTCCCCTTTGGTCAGCCCTGACTTCCATTTATAGGATGGTGAGAGGTGGGGCAAATTACAAAATTATATTATATGTGGTCCAGTACTGCGACATCTGTGTAAACACCAAGTTGAGGTAAGAGGAAAGAACACGTGTTGTCTTAGAGGAGCAGAAGGAAAACCAGTTATAATCATTACAGCGTGTTGTTAAGTTTTGGGAAGGGGCTTAAGAGCAATTATATCAACGTAAATAAACTGAGACAGAGGGATCTACAGAAGAATGAAAAAGGTTGAAGGTAATAATGACATTAGTCGAGAAAAAACCCACACGCTGACATTTGACCCCCAAAAATATGAGACAAAAGCACGAGCAAAGGGTAACATTAGTAATCGAATGAAGAAGTGTAGGTGTGATGTTCTGAAGTACAGATACATTCAAGGGGTGAAAGACAACACGAAATGACCAGACACACGGACGATAGAGAGCAGTTAGCAGGGGAGGAGAGTAAATGACAGTACAAGACACCCAGGTGTGTACATTAACCTACAGACACCAGAGGAAAGCAAACTACCTACAGAGTTACAAATGAGAGGAAGATAATAACCATAATCTAGGAAGAGCGGATACTGTGTAAAAAAAAATGATGAGAGGGGAACGCTTTTTACACTGGGAAAAACACTAACCTCTTCATTACGGGGACGCCAATTTTAATGTTATATTTGGCTCCTACAAGACGATTTTAGTCACCTCAAAGGGGGACCCGTACACAGGGGTTAGAGGCGAGTAGGAGGTGTATTTTAAAAGATAAAAGACAGGAGATCGGTAGGTAGCAGTGGCACCAGAAGGACTAAAGGACGGATATCAAGAAAGAGGAGATAAAGATAACCCTCGATAAGATGTATTGAGAGAGAGAGAGAGAGAGAGCATATGAGGTGACAGTGTTGAAGACTCTATTAAGGGATCGACTGGCTATTGGATCTGTTATCCCCTTGAGTACGATGAATTAACTTATCGTAATCAAGGGGTTAACTTATCGTAATCAAGTATAGTTAATTTATGGTACTTAAGGGGATTATGTCGTACTCAAGGGGTTAACTTATCGTAATTAAGGGGATATATCATCGTATTCAATGGATTATGTCAACTTAATCAAAGGGTTAAGGCAATTACAGGAAGATAAGGAAATAGCGGAAAACGGGAGGGAAAACTATGACAGAAACAACACACAAATGGAAGGAAGACATTATGGACCGTGGAAACTACAGGAGGCTTGAGAAGCATTCATTAGAGAGAAGAGAACCGCAAATTCTCTCTTACATATTGCGTCACATCCAGAAGTTCAGGTTTTAAAGGGAAATGGCAGCCTGTTTTGTACGCGTTTGGATCTAGAAAAGACTCGTGAGGGAAGATGTGTACTGATAGGTGAAGAAAAGGAGGGTAACTGAGGAAAAGAATGGTGGTACATAAGAACATAAGGATGGAGGAAACTGCAGGGGGCCTATTGGCCCATACTGGGCAGTTCCGTTTACACCCAACCCCTATCGCTCATATATCCATCCAACCTATGTTTGAAGCTATCCAGCGTATTCGAGTTAATCATGATGTTTGGTAACTTGTTCCACTCATCCACTATTATATTTCCAAACCATTGTTTACTTATCTCGTACCTAAATCTAAATTTGTTTAACTTAAAACCATTGTTACGAGTTCGCTCCTGGTTCGATAGTTTGAGTACCTTTGTTATATCACCTTTGTTTAGCCCTGACTTCCATTTATACACCTCTATCATATCGCCCCTCACTCTACGTCTCTCGAGGGAGTGCAGATTAAGGAATGAGAGAAAGGAATCAGAGGAAGATTAGCATCCATTAGCTTATTACACCTGATTATGAAACAGCCAAACGTTAACCTAACCTAACCAAGTACTCTAAGCCTATCCTTATTGACTAGCTATAAAAACATCTGACGTCAGCAGGAGGATGTCAGTGTATCACATCACTTAAACATTTCTTTGCCTGTTTACTGTTGAATAATGTTTGTGTAATGAGACACAATGCTTAGAGGGAGACAATATTGATCTGCAATATTTAAAAT